TGTATGCATGTCGTGAAATCGTTAGCTAAATATTTGTAAAAGTTTGACGCATTACGAAGTCGTCGTGGCCTAAAGGAGAAGATGTCCGGTGCATTCCGGCTGGCAAGTACCAATTTTTCTAATGAAATACGTACTTAACAATGTTCACGATTGACTTCCACGGTGAAGGAATAACATCGTTTAGTAAAAAATTTTAATTTGCGTAATTACTGGTGGTAGGACCTCTTGTGAGTCCGCACGGGTACGTACCACCACCCTGCCTGTTTCTGCCGTGAAGCAGCAACGCGTTTCGGTTTGAAGGGTGGGGCAGCCATTGTGACTATACTGAGACCTTAGAACTTATATCTCAAGGTAGATGGTGACATTTATGTTGTAGGTGTCTATGGGCTTCATTTACCGCTTAACACCAGGTGGGCCGTGAGCTCGTCCACCCACGTAAGCAATAAAAAAACATTATACCTATACTTAATTGCCTTGAACTTTTTCTTAGATTTGAGACCTTCGTGATTCTGACCATAGACAATACGCTTAATATTATTCTGACAGACACAAGTCAAAATAAAGGTTATTGAATGAAATTAAACATAATTTGGCGTTTCATAGAAATTTACAAGTTGTTTATATAAAAAGAATGAAAAAGCAAAAATTCGTCGGAACGGTAGCGAAGAAAACATCAAGTGTCCTAAACTCCAATTTGAATAAGGCTTTAGATGAAAGACGGAAACTACAGATAAAATTACGTGAAGCCACTAACAAACAACATCAGGACATGAGCAGAGCAATTGAGTTGAAAGAAAAGAACATAATTCTTAGGAACCAATTACACGACGCTAGACTTCAAGCTTGCCAATTAAAAAACTGGTTTTAGCAATACAATTACTTTATTTTGAAATACCAGAAGAAAAAAGTGTACTGCTTTTGTGGATAATTACGGGCCGGGGAAACAAGCCCTTGTCCAAATAAAATGTCTGATACAGAAACACAAAAGCATAGCAAATATTGATTTCAAATAATACGCTTGCATACCAGTGTTGTTAAAAACTTACGTATAATCTTAAATATGTATGTCCCGTACGAAAACAAAATAAAAAGCTTGGAAAAGTATAATCGAATCATGAGAAAACTAATTTATTTGTCAATACAAAAAAGAAACGACGCAAGAATCCAAGCGTTGAGATTGGCTGAAGAAAATTATTATTTACAGAATTGCTTTACGCAAGTTTTGATCGAGATAAACGATTTGCATTGTGATAATAGAATTCTATGTATGTAAACGATTTAATATTGTGGGTACTTATTTATTTTCTGTGGTTCTCTAAAGAAACGCACCGTATTAATATAGTTTCGGATTTCATGCAATATTTATGCCGACAAAATAAGTCGAATCTTTTAATAAATTTTTTTATTGCATAGATGGGTGGACGAGCTCACAGCCCACCTGGTGTTAAGTTGTTATCGGAGCCCATAGACATCTACGACTTAAATTAAAATGTGAGTTCTAAAGTCTCCCTTTTAACAGTAGGTAACACGGATGCCCCACCCTTCAAACCGAAACGCACTACTACTTCTACCACTGGATCGGAAATGCGACCCACTGAGAAGATCTGGCGAGAAACTCAGTGGGCTGTGTCTGAGGGTTAATTTACGAGAACGATGACCGGTTTTCCCACATTTGTGCACTTTCACAGCTAATAATAATAATAATAAGCCTTTATTGCTGTTTTACTTATTAATTACTGACTTAATAATAAATTAATTTAAATGCAACTTATAATCAAATATTCCGTTCGGCCTTCGGTGTGGTTTTCAAAACAGCTTGTCTCTCGACAAAAGCCTCCTCTACAGATTGCCAATATTCTCTATTTTTGGCCATTCGACTCCAATGCGGGCCGGCTACACACTTTATTTCATCTTCCCAACGTTTCGGCTGTCTTCCTATTCTTAATTGAAACGCACTATCTTACAATCGTGTATTAAATATGCTTACAATAAGGAAGCTTCCATTTTTTCAATTTTCTTTTATAATAATTACACTAAGACTGTAATAAATCCTAGTGTTTTTTTTCAATTATCTTCATAAATTACGGAGTTCTGAAGCTTTTCCCTTCCATTTTAAAATCGTATGACGCGCGGCCGGCCGGCCTAGCGTTGACGTCACAAGTCTCGCCCGTCTCGGGACGACGCAGCGACTAGCGCAACACAATATCAAGTATTATCATGAAAACTAAAATACATTATAAATACTGCATCGTGCCTATGTGTACGAACACGACTCTCTTGATAAACATTTTTTTACGGTACCAAAGGAGAAAAAAATAAGAGATAAGTGGTGTAAAATTATGAAAAGAATCTTTATCAGAAAAATCAGTACGGTATTGCTGCGAAGACCATTAGTGATGTAAGTATCTATGTATGTCAGAATATATTCATCTAATAATACTTAACTACTCATATAATTATAAATTTATTACGGCAAGTACTTTAATTACATTTTAAATAAAAACAAAAATAAGGGCACACAAGTACTTAAAATGGGCAAAAAAAGATAAAGGTCAAACAAAATTCGGGCAGAAAAATATTAAATCTTCAGGCAATGAAATACTCCAAAGCAACGACATTAGTGACGATATTACAGAAACTTCAGACATTGTTAATCTGCCGGTCTCTTTCAGTGGAAACTCATGCGACGAATTCAGAAGGCACAACAACCTTCGGAACCATAGTTTTTTTTATATCGGTGTAATCAAATCAGCAGTTTTAATAAATTATATGTTACTTCCAACAACAGAAAGCTTTACTTTTGTCCAATAATATTTCACAGACGTGGAAGATGGTTGGTTATTCTTCGGTTCAGTTCGGTTCAGCCACATAACTAGAGCTATAGTGTGCTTCCAACTTCTCTGGCTGGCGCCACAATCTTCGTAACATACGCTTATAATCTGTTCAGTCTCTTCATTACTTTTATTTTCGTTTAAAATCGTGTTTGTTGTTTTCGAAGTTTCGATTACAGTTTCCGGAACAGTTTTCTTGGTAACGGATCATAATGTATTGGAAACTAAAGTATCTCAAGACAGCGTCAGAACGTTACGTCTAAAAAGCAACACGCAACATAATGACGGTAACTGTACTGAGACCTTAGAACTCATATCTAAAGGTAGGTGGCGCATTTACGTTTTAGATGTCTATGGGCTCCAGTAACCACTTAACACCAGGTGGGCTGTGAGCTCGTCCACCCATCTAACAAAAAAAAAAACGAGTTAAGTGGTTACTAGAGCCCATAGACATCTACAACGTAAATGTGCCACCCGCCTTGAGATATAAGTTCTAAGGTCTCAGTATAGCAAAGGCTGCTCCACCCTTCAAACCGAAACGCATTACTGCTTCACGGCAGAAATAGGCGGGAAGGTGGGACCTACCCGTGCGGGCTTACAAGCGGTCCTACCACCAGTAATTACGCAAATTATAATTTTGCGGGTTTCATTTTTATTACACGATGTTATTCCTTCACCGTGGAAGTCAATCGTGAACATTTGTTGAGTACGTATTTCATTAGAAAAATTGGTACCCGCCTGCGGGATTCGACCACCGGTGCATCGCTTCAACGCGAATGCACCGGACGTCTTATCCGTTAGGCCACGACGACTACAAAACTATACAAGCTATACTGAGACTTTAGAACTTGTATCTCAAGTTGGGTGGCGCGTCTACGTTGTAGATGTCTATGGGCACCAGTAATCACTTGAAACCAGGTGGGCTGTGAGCTCCAATAANGTACCCGCCAGCGGGATTCGACCACCGGTGCATCGCTTCAACGCGAATGCACCGGACGTCTTATCCGTTAGGCCACGACGACTACAAAACTATACAAGCTATACTGAGACTTTAGAACTTGTATCTCAAGTTGGGTGGCGCGTCTACGTTGTAGATGTCTATGGGCACCAGTAATCACTTGAAACCAGGTGGGCTGTGAGCTCCAATAAAAAAAAAATATTATGTAGGTAGGTATGTAGGTAGTCACTTACTTTGAAGCCTTTTCGCCTCATATTTCTGCACGTGTATTCAACAGATTGTTAGTCAAAAAGTGTAAAACCACACACACCACGTCTGAAATAGTCTTTCTTTTCTTCTCAGTCGTACACTCCTAGCGGAGTGATCGTGGTTATGTATGTCTTATTTAGATATTTCCATAACTCTCATGGGAAAATAGTACCAGTGGCTTAATAAAATAAATATAAATAATTAAAATAGTGTTCTGAGATAGTAATGCGAACATAAAACACGAATCTCCCTGCCCAGATAACCAGTTCTGGTGCCTTCCGCCCCGCACAGGGTGGCCTACGAGACTTGTGACGTAAGACCGTGAATGGATCGCGCGGCTTTTTATTTTCGTGTGGGTGATATTAAAAAATTCACAGTGTCGTCATTTTTAGAGATATTCAAGTAGTTTTTTACTAGGTTTAATATTTTTGTATTGTCTTTAAATTTATATAATTATTTTTTGTTTTTATGAAATTAGAAACTTCCTCATTGTTGTTTGTTATCACTGACTTTTTGGCGGAAACGCGAGGAGTGAAGTTGTGTGATTTGTTTTAGGATGTCTATTTAATGTTTCTTCTGGTTTAAGCGTGTAATAGGGGTGGTTTATTAACTGTTTAATATCTGTGAAATTGCACAAAGGTGGGAAAATGAAACAAATCCGCTGGATAAACTTCTCGGGATCCTCCAAAAAGTCCACTGATAAAATCTCAGTAAATGACCACCATTTTACTGAGATTGTATTTCATCCCATATCATCTCATTTCATTTCTTTTTCGTTTCATTTCATTTCTTGCCATGTTTCATAATAATCAACTTCATTTCATAATATCAGTTTTCATATTAAAAAGGCTTTCATTAAAATTAAAATAAGACTTGACCTAAAGGCTTTAGTTACCAGGCTACAAAACCCCTTAAAAAAATGAACAATCTATGTACTAAACCATAGATTACACGCTTTATTATTTGAGACCACAGAACACTGTTTGAGACATTCGGTAAATTAATGACAGAAAAAACTACGAAACTACGAACCACTACGAACTACACACTACACACGAAGATCTAAGAGCTACAGTAATTACATGCGGTACCTACACATTTGTTAAAAATAAATAAAAAGATAGGAAATTTGTAGATTAATTTTTGGTAATTCTATTCCTATTTCGTCATGTATGGTAAGTAACTTAATTGTCCTTTTGTTATTTTTATCAATCAATGCTTTTACTTTACTTTACTTTTACAAAATCCAAAGAAATCTATACTAATATCTACAGTGGTTTCTACGGATGTTCCGTTCTAACTACTGAACCATGCATCCGATTGACTGGGAACTTGGTATCCATGTAGAAAATAAATGTACTTAATGGATAGGCTAATATTTATATGAGTATTGGACTCCCTAATAATAATGACAATAAATAATAATGTTAATATTAAATGCCCAGCGAAGCGGGCGAGTATGGCTATACTCATTAAGTGCTTATCATTCTCATAGGTCATAATCATGTTATGATTAAAACCTTAACTTAACTAAACCTAAGACTAAAACTAATAAAGGCGTATGACAAAAAACTAATCTTTTTTGTTTACAACAATTAATATCTTCCAGAAAGTCTTATTAATAAAATTATAATAAGCTTGTTCGAGCTTATTGAATGTAATTAGAAATGTAAGAGTTCCGTTACATACAAGAAAAACGTTCCAATAAAATCCTCATAACATATCTATTGCCTTAATTTTTTTTATGGAAACTATCAATGTTATATGTTTAATAAATAAGGGAAATGTTCCCTGTGCAATAGAGGAGATATGTGTAATGGAAGACACGCAGTGTCACTGCCGCGGATCCAACTTACTGGTGTCTACAGGATGTCTGCTGTGGCCAACTGGGCTAAAGATGGTTTCTAATCTAGCATTTAATATTTTAAGGTTATAAAAATAATAGCTAATTAAAGGACCAGAGCCATGTTCTGAATGTGAACATAGAGACATATTTGGCTAATGATTCTGTCATTAACTTAATATTAAAAATATTTTTCAGGACGTAGCCGATCTCGTTCCCCGATCCGCTCCAAGAATCTATCTAAACAAAATGATATTGTGCGCCGTCGTAATGACAATGTTATGGACTGCAGGGTATTATACATAAAACCTATACCTAAGTTTTGGAATGCTGAAAAAGTAAAGAGTTTTATCCAAGATAAATGCAAATCAAGGGTAAGACATTGTTATTTACATATAGGGTGGGCCATAAAGTTGAGCGGATCATAAAAAATCATATAAAAAACACTACAAAGCTCAGGAAAGAAAAAATATAATTATAATAAAGATTACAAATGGGAATTTAATTTTTTAAAAATAACATCGCTGAGATGTGTGCCATCTACACGTACACACTCTTCCAATCTAGCCCTCAAATTCGTGAAAACTCGCTGGCACATCGTTCGTGGGATATCTGACATTTCCTTGCGAATATTGTCTTTGAGCTGGGCAATTGTCGTCGGTTTATTGGCGTAAACACGACTCTTGAGGTACCCCCACAGAAAAAAATCCAGTGGCGTGAGATCTGGGCTCCGGGAAGGCCATGGAATGTCCCCTCGACGCGATATCAGTTTTCCATTAAACATTTCGTTAACAACTGCCAAAGACTCATTGGATGTATGGGATGTCGCGCCATCTTGTTGAAACCAGGTCCTGCTGTTATAGGCTCCAGAATTATGCAGTTGTGGAAAAAAAAAGTCACGTAACATTGCTGTGTAGCGGTCAGAATTTACTGTTATTGCCTGGCCCCGCTCATTTTCGAAGAAATGGGGTCCGATGATTCCATGAGCCGACATGGCCGCCCGTAACTTTAAGCGAATGCATAGGTCTTTGATGTTTCAATTGGGGATTTTCTTCGGCCCAATACAGACAATTTTGCTTATTGACAAATCCACTTAAATGAAAATGAGCTTCATCCGAGAAGAGGATATTGTTCAAACTTTGAAAACGCTCTAACATTGTTTCGGCAAATGCACGACGTAAATGGTGGTCATTTGGTTTCAATTCCTGTACTAATTGGAGTTTATATGGGTGTAATTTAAGATCTTTGGTCAAAATACGCCTTAATGATGATCTTGATATGGCGAGCTCAGCTGATCTCTTTCGGGACGACTGCTGGGGATCGCGCCGTACAGACACCGCGACTTCGCTTACATTCTCCTCCGTTCTTATAGACCTTGGACGCCNACGTAAATGGTGGTCATTTGGTTTCAATTCCTGTACTAATTGGAGTTTATATGGGTGTAATTTAAGATCTTTGGTCAAAATACGCCTTAATGATGATCTTGATATGGCGAGCTCAGCTGATCTCTTTCGGGACGACTGCTGGGGATCGCGCCGTACAGACACCGCGACTTCGCTTACATTCTCCTCCGTTCTTATAGACCTTGGACGCCCCGCAGATTTTTCATTTAATGTCGAACCCGAAAACTCAAACTTTCTGACCCACGATCTGATCACACTTTCACTCGGACATTGGTTTAAATCATGTAAATTAAACTTAACGAAATAAACGCCGCGCAATAGTGCCCGAATCGCCATTTTTGTAATACGGTTTCACACAAAAAGCACGCTGCTCACCGGTAAAACGCTCCATGGCAACTGAATTTCCGAGAACCAAGGAACCTATCCCCACTACCCGCACCCCGCTCCCGCTTTCCTGTCGCGAGTGATGTGATTTTGAAATTCGCACGCCTTTCTGGCCCACCCTGTAGATAGACAGGCAATCTGCCAAAAATTATCATGATTATTAACAAATACATTTTTTTTATTTCACACAAATTTTTTTGGTATCAATCAGGTATATGATACTGAACTAAACCAAAAAAAGTTGTTTTACAACAAAAGAGGCCTTAGTTGCTGTGGCCTAAAGGATAAGACGTCCAGTGCATTCTTATCTAGCGACACAACTGTGTTCGAATCCCTTAGGCGGGTACCAGTTTTTCCAATGAAATACGTACTCAACAAATGTTCACGATTGACTTCCACGGTGAAGGACAACATCATTTAATAAAAATTATAGTTTGCGTAATTACTGGCGGTAGGACATCTTGTCCGTCCGCACGAGTAGTTACCACCGCCCTACCTATTTCTGCCGTGAAGCAGTAATGCGTTTCGGTTTGAAGGATGGGGCAGGGGGGACATTAGAACTTATATCTCAAGGTGAGTGGCGCATTTACGTTGTAGATGTCTATGGGCTCCAGTAACCACTTAACACCAGGTGGGCTGTGAGATCATCCACCCATCTAAGCAATAAAAATTAATTAAAAAAAAAACCATTAGAGAAGAGAAATGAAAGTAATATTTTTTGTTTGTACTATACTGTGATACTGTGGAACTATGGATCTGTTCTGATAGCTAAATTAAGATTTTAAGAATATCTTTCTTTTTTTATCTTTTTTATTGCTTAGATGGATGGACGAGCTCACAGCCCATCTGATGTTAAGTGGTTACTGGAGCCCATAGACATCTACAACGTAAACGCGCCACCCACCTTGAGATATAAGTTCTGAGGTCTCAGTACAGTTACAACGGCTGCCCCACCCTTCAAACCGAAACGCATTACTGCTTCACGGCAGAAATAGGCGGGGCGGTGGTACCCACCCGCCCGCACTCACAAGAGGTCCTATCACCAGTAATTACGCAAGATATAATTTTGCGGGTTTGATTTTTATTACACGATGTTATTCCTTCACCGTGGAAGTCAATCCTGAACAAACATCTGCATTATTGCTTTGGGAAACATCAGTAATGACTAAGTTTATTGTTACAGACAATACCAGAAAATATAAAATTTGTGTTACTTTTCATAGAAGACAACGGTGACCCTTCTTGTCTGGTCAAATTTGCAAATTCTTACATATGCAATTTGGCTTTGATGGAGCTAGAAAATGTGGAAATTGATGGAAAAAGACTTTTCATAAATTTGGACACTGGTATATATTTTTTTTTTGTATCTATTTTCAGATGAGATGAAGCCATTTTTCATCAATAACCTAAGGAAGAAAGGCCATTGTTATATTCATTTTGTATGATGCGATTCACAGTCCACTTAGTATTAAAAAGATTAAAAAGTGACTGGAGCCAACTTAGGGCCATAGAGTTAGCCGTCAAGGAGCCAGGAGGTTTGCTTGTCTTGGCGGTCTCGTGTTCTCGTTGGTAATGTAGGTTTATGTGCATGACCAACAAAGTCTTATTGTTCTTGTCCCCTTACAAACAAGGGGTGGTTAAAACAGTGTCATTGTTACACTGCTTTGAGGAAATTAGACTGAAAATTGATAAATGAGGTAGGAACGTGTGGGAAAATTAAACTTGAGCTTGGGAAAATACTATTTCAAACAGACAGTGTATATTTACTGACAAATGGTAATATTTATGATATGAAGGTCATACGAAACGAAGATCTATTTCCTTAAGATTAGTAATTTTTGGTAGCATTTAAATATTTTCTCTAAAAAGTGTTATGAGTGGTTTTTGTAGTTACGTTAAAGAATGATAATCACCACCTACTAGTAGAACCATTACAATGTTCTCTTCAAGAATATTTACCAAGTTATGTCTTAGCGAACTGGACATTTCAGTGAATCTTACTATTGAGTCCAAAAATAATATATTCTAGGGTGTGTCTGAACAAATATTCTTGTTGAAAACTTATGTCTTCTTCTTCTTGGTCATTTGCTTATTCCTGAGGATCGCAACTACATGTATGTATTTCCATAAAGATTGGTCTGCTGCAATGTCGACTCTTTGTTGGATGCTGCCCCCACTGTCCTCCTTATAGTGTTCGACCTTTGGCTCATTTCCCCTCCACTTGACCAAGAATGAGAAGCTTTACCAGAGTTATGTCTTGGGGACCGCATGATATGTCCGAAAAAGCTGAGTGTTCGATCTTGACAAATAGAGGAGAGCCGCTTTGTAATGTGTAAACTTGTATACAATATAGTTTTCCTGATTGTATTGTTATTAAGATCGAGGAGTTTCCTATTATGGTAAGTAAGAGTTGGTGCATCACGAAAATCGGTGTTCGGACCAGTAAGTACAAATGCTACTTCGCCGATGCTATTGGGCGGTACGTATTGGACTTAACACAAAAAAAGAGGGTGCATGCCCGAAGTGGAACTCTATTGGTGAAATCCACAACTTGGGTGCTGTGGCACTATAGCCCCTGACCCCCTCTTAATGCGTACCCTGATTGTGACGTATCTGAAACAATGTGTATTTTTGAGTGAGCCTAGAATACGTGCTATTACTGATTACAGTAACAGATTAGTGAAGGAATATCACTTTAAGGATGTCTTTCCTTAAAAGTGTTGGTCAAAATGGTCTTGTTGGAAACTATATGTATTTTATCTCTTTATTGGTTCTGCTGGATAGGTGTCGCTAAAGATGCCAAAATGCCAAGTTTGGCAAAATTGAAATTCTTACTCTTTATGGAAACAATATAAACTTTGTGTTTCGGAGCAATAAGTTGATTTTATTTGGTAGGTGATGATTCATTTTTAAATGCCATTGATGGCCTATGGCCGCATCGCAAACCGCCTTTTGTCGAAAGGATGATTGTGTTACCAAAGGATTTTTTTTTTAAATACGAAGGAAACTTGAGAACTGAGAAATGTTCAACACATCTCTTCCGATTTATGACATATGAAATAAAAATATTTCAGATAATCTATTCAACAAGAAAAGGAATATGAACAGAAACATCTTTAAACAGTGAGTTTTTTATATATTATTATTTATTAAACATATATCTGATATGAAGTTTTCAAATTTGATATCATTTGGCAATGCACTCCGAAATCCGATAAGACCACAACAGTTACATTGCACCCCTAAATATGTGGGGAAACCTCTCACCAAAACCAATTTAGCGTTCAGTGATGAAACACATACTATGTGAAGTAGTCCTATCCCATTGTTGGTCGTATACCGCTTAACAGACTCTGGCCTAAGAGGTTTTCCGTAAATGAGCAAATATAATTTATCCAAACGCTTATGCGTCAATAACCACTAACGCATTTAACGCTCTATGGTGTAAGAACTAGGGGCGAAATTCGATTGAATCGGTTTTGAAGATTTGCCAAATTGTCGCAAGTCGGTTAAGCGAATTAATATCTAAGTTTAAGTGTCACCGTGAGACATTAAACCAATTTCTAAACGCATTCGACACCTGTCATTCTAAAATGTAGCTATCTCACTCTTTACTCAACTTCCTTCTTGTCTTTTTCTTAAGTGTTCGGTTAGGTCTGCGCTCATATTAAATAATGCTTATTAATTAATTAAGTGTTTTAATCCATATATGAAAGTCACAATACATTGTGAATTATTCGATTATTAGTTATTTACGTAATATGTTCAGATATAGACAGAAATACCACAAGCACCGGTGACCGTCCTCATCGAACCCGTCGCTTGCGACGAAAGGCTCGACGAGCAAATTAACCCACAGACACAGCTCACTGAGTTTCTCGCCGCATCTTCTCAGTGGGTCGCGTTTCCGATCCGGTAGTAGATTCTGCGAAACACTGCTCTTGCTAGGGCTAGTGTTACGTTAGGGCGAAGCTGATATAGCCTCTCAAAGCTATCAGCATAGGTAGGAAAAAAAAAAGACAGAAATAACCAATTAAACAATCAACATTGCCTTCACGGTCTACAATAAGAGAGTTTTGTATCGTAATTTTAGTTCGAAACAGAGAACTCAGTCAAGCCAGAAAACGCAAGATTACCAAAATCCGGTACAGCAAGCCGAGCAATCGCACCAGTCGCAGCCGCAAATGAACGCGAACACTGCAACGGAGCAAACGAGCGACGCCCAAAGCTCGAAACATGAAACATACGGACTCAGTTTGAACTTTTTGGAGTCTTTGAACATAAAGCTGCCGTTACTAAACAAGATCTTCATTGGGAACGTAAGTAATTTATCGATACAAATTAGCGGTCGTGGTCTAGGGGAATTGCAAACGCCATTTAACGTTCAAGGTAAGGAAATTGGGTTGTTTGGATTTTTTTTTGGAACGAAGTTCTTTGTGGGACGATGCGGACGGGCACCCTAACCGAGAAAAAACGTCCGTAACGTAAGATTTTTATTAGTAATGCAGACAGTGTACGACTTAACTTTGTAATAACGTAAAATTTTTTGTTTTTAATAAATAAATCATAATAAAAAATGTATACCCGAATAAATTTTTTTTATACCTCAAATAGAACTTAAAATTAATATTTTTATAATAAGGAACTTCGTTCTTATCCGGTGTTCCACGACACCACACATTTTTTTATAGTCGTGAATCTAAATGCTTAGGCCTAGATCCAGATCGGGGTCATAGCGCAGTAGCAGTAGTAGTATGAATCTAAACGGTTGGACTATAGATATCACAGAATGCCATCAACCACCATAAAGCATGATTTTTGAAGTGTAACTTCTAATGCGACTTCCAACTAGGTTGCGTTAAACGTTTAACGCTCCTGGGGAGGGGGAATAGAAAGAGAGAGCGAGATTGAATGCGTGACACTCGAACGCATGCGCGTAGTATACTGTCACAGGCCAACGCGAGCATTAGCAACGAGTAGCGGCCAATATTTTAATGTAGTATTTGAAAAATGTATATATATTTATTTTTCTATCTATAATTTAAAATATAGAAAGTATAATTGTTGAAGATGTCACATCTCTTATAAACAGCATTCACAATTACAATCGCAATCCGATTTAAATATGAAGAATGAAGAAAACCACAATACTACATACACATCGAAAAAGAAGTTTCACTTCATTCTCGTGCACCAAGTTGCACGCGCACCGTTTTTTTATTGCCCGTATCGGCAGACGAGCATACGACCCACCTCGTGGTGATTGGTTATCGTAGGCCATGGACTTCAGCAATGCCTACCGTAAACCGTGAAATATCGCTTGCATTGATTCCCACTTTGCTAAGCACAACGCGAGACCGCTTCGCCCCCCAAAGCTGACAGTTAGGCGGTACATACACGCGCGACTGGCCACGCCCCGCAACCGGATGTGATCTTAAGAACTTTTCAACAGCTGGACGTCTTGGTTACGGAGTCGAAGCTGCGCGAGGTGTTCGGCTACTGCGGACAAATAGTCAGCTGCTCGATAATAGTCAAGGATGACAAGCTGTCTCGGTACATGGCCAAAATTGAATACGACCACCCGGTGGAGGCTGTGCAGGTACTTTTAAACCATTTTTGTTGTTGTTTTTTATATATATATATTTGCTCCAATCGTCCAATTCGAAATCGTACGGATCTATTAGACGCCTTTAGCTCTAACACTAGGAGAAGGCTTAGGGACTCCGGTAACCGTACTCGTCGAACTCGACAAAGAGTTCGACGTGCAACCTAACCCATGAATCAGCCCGCTGAGTTTCTCGCCGGATCTTCTCAGCGGGTTGCGATTCCGATCCGGTAGTAGATTCATTCGCGAAGCAGCTGCTCTTGAGTTGTTAGGTCTCATTTGGAGACGCTCTGGCAGCTGCTAGCAAATCCCGCCCCTTCTGGCTGAGCCTTTGCTCGCTCATCCGTCCTGGTGAAACTGGAAAGGCCTCCGGGTCACCAGTAATCCCGCAAACATAAAAAAAGTGAATACGAACACTAATTCCGGTAATGTTATGTTTCTTTAAACGATGATGATGACTTTCTTTCGTAACATACATATCGAAGGAAGAAAGCGAAATGGTCGTAACTGGAAAAGCCCAACTTTACACCAAAATCATAAAACTATTTCAAAAATAACTCATATCATATTAAGAGAGTTAGAAAGTTTAAAATTGATTTATAAGTAAGTTGTATAAAGAGAAATGCTTAGATAATCTAAAACCTATCTGATGATATTATTGTATAATAAAATAAAAAGTAAAAAATAATATAATATAAAATAGTTTCATGGCGCTGGTGTAAAGTTGGCTTTTTCAAATTACGACAATTCCGCTTTCTTCCATCGATATGTACATCATAAACAATAGCCAGAATAAATAAAAGCTTTAAGTAATCCTATATATAGTATAACTATGCATATGCGCTTAGTAGTATCAAACTACGCTAACAAATAAACAGACAGACACAGAAAATAATTGTAAAAGTCGCTGATTTATAATCAGATTTATTTTTTATTTTTATTACTTTCTTTCTCTCAACGTACGGGCACGCCAGATTGTTACAAAACTATATGTATGTCAAACGTTGGTTACCCCGGCTCGGTGGTTCTGTTTCACCCGGTTATCTTCGCGACACACACACTGGGTCTGGACAAACCAATCGAACCCTGGTCGGGAATAGACACGGGACTTGCCCAGCAAGGTATCCTAGGTCCCCGATGCACGTCTAGGATTCAAAAAATGAGTAAATGGACATACGCACCTGGGATTGCACACGGAGCTCCAGGACGCGTGCACTGTTCTAGATTCACTAGGCCCTTTGTTAATTTATTATAATTGAACTTCACCCGCGGCTGTCGAATTCGGTTATGTTTAAATATTATATACTTGGTTGCGTGTTGCTCGGCTCCCGTTCGTTATCGATGTGCTGTGCATGCGATGTAGCTTCGCTCTGTCATTTGATGGATCCGAACGTGGAGATCAATCGGCGTTGTAAAATGTCACATTTAAAATTTGCCGCAAAGACGGTATACGTATACATACACTATAATAATATGTATTGTTTTCGATGACGTTCAGGCAATCGCGATGCTAAACAGACAAGAGCTTTACAACAAACGGATGTTGGTCCAGATGGACACCGCGCCGCGTCCGTTCCCAAACAACCTTCCGAACGGTCTGGGCGGCTTCGGCCCGGGCCTGGGCGTCGACGGCGAACCCCTCAGGGGCGTAAGAGTCCACCTCGAGATGCGGCCCATCAAGCAACTCCTCGAAAACTTGAAGGAAGACATACAAAAGCAGAATCAGGTTAACGATCTGAACAAATACAAAGAGATGCAGAATGCAAACAGTGGCTTCGAGGCCATCGTCCAGCCGCAGGTCGCGCCGGTCCTCAACCAAGCTCAGATACCGGTCATGGTGCAGCCGTTTGCGAACCAGACCTTCGTGGCCGTGCCCCAAATGAAGACCAGCGCCGCTCAGATGCAGGCGGCCACTGAATACGGCCTGGCCATGATGAACGCCCAGCAAGTGTCGCGCTGGGACCAGACCAGCGCGCAGTGGAACGTCATCCAAACTAAGCAGTTCGAAGAGACCTCGGCACTCGATGGTAACTACAGCAGGCAGGCGGTCGACGGTAATAGCAGCGCTAATACGCTCAAGTTTCTTTATATATTATTTTGTTTACTGCCTTAGATGTAAGGCAATGGACTACATGGTTATTATTTAGATGGGTGGAGGAGCTCATAGCCCACCTGGTGTTTAAGTGGTTAATGGAGCCCATAGACATCTACAACATAAATGCACCACCCACCTTGAGATATAAGTTGTAAGGTCTCGGTATAGTTACAACGGCTGCCCCGCCCTTCAAACTGAAACGCGTTACTGCTTCACGGTAGAAGTAGGCAGGGTGGTGGTATTTACCCGTGCGGACTCACAAGAGGTCCTACCACCATTAAAGAAGCGCTATCTACTCGCGCTGGCGCTGGAACCCGGATATTATCCTGATGTAACTTTTTTTTTAGATAAGCGAGACAGCAGGGCCGCCCCCTCCGCGCAGTCCGTACACGCCTTTGAATCTGACAACACCAAGCAATCGACCAGCATGGTGGTCTTTAGTTATGTAAGGAGAAATTGTTTCTTTTCTTTTTTTCAAATTTGACAACTGGTAACAGAGTTTTAAGTGTGAACGTGGAAGGCTTTAGAGAAAGAGGTGTGTGTTGTAGTCCTAGGGTACCCCGCTGGTACATAGGGCCCTCACAAGTTGTCTCCACTTTACTCTGTCTTGCGCTTGCTCTAGAGAAAGAGGTAGACCTAAGAAAAAATTGATGGATTGCGTGAAAGATGATATGTGTAAAAGGGGAGTGAGCGAAGGAATGATCTATGATAGAAGAGTATGAAAGATGGAAGGAGAAAACATATTGCTGAAATCAAATTTAAAAAAAAACCGTTGTCCTGTCACAGTTCCTTAACCAATATATTTTCTCATTTGGTGCACATTAATTCGTCAAGTGTGAAGTGGAATTAACTTGTTTGCTGGTATCGCCTGTAATAAAGAAATTTACAGACATTATTGTTCTTAGGAAGCGGTTTGTCCGTACCCCCGGTATTGCTGTTGTCCACGAGCCACGGTATCCACTACAAAGATGTAGACATATCTACCATCCAATATTAAAAAAAAAAAACTTGCTCATTTATTGCATAAAGCCATTCAATTAATTCGAACTACCACCTTTTCTAATCTATTATCGAAATTTCTAGCAAATGAAAGCATAGTTTTTTTTTTCGTTTTCTACGATTATCAGAGGAAGTATCTGTACCAGTACGACTGATTCACGATAGATGGCCTGCGAGTCGCCGCTACCAGCGCGACCGCTTGGTAGTGATGAGGGCCGTTTATTTTTTAATTTTTTTATTGCTTAGATGGATGGACGAGCTCACAGCCCACCTGGTATTAAGTGGTTACTGGAGCCCATAGACATCTACAACGTAATTGCGCCACCCACCTTAAGATATAAGTTCTAAGGTCTCAATATAGTGGCTGCCTCGCCCTTCAAACCGAAACGCATTACTGCTTCACGGCAGAAATAGGTGGTACCTACCCGCGCGGACTCACAAGAGGTCCTACCACCAGTAACGTCCGGTGCTGAAGCTCGCTTGTGACGTTTTATTTCCAGCTGCCTCCGAGCGTGGACCTCCAGGCCCTCAGCAACAAGATGCGGGAGGTCGGCGAGGTGAAGTTCGTGGATGTGCTGGGCATGGGTCGCGCGATCGTCAGCTTCTTCAACGTGCGCGACGCCGAGCGCTGTGTCAGTATCCTTTGTGGAAACCAGCGGGGCAGGGCGAACTGCTTCGCGTTGTTGAAGTGTAACTTCTAATGAGACTTCCAACTAGGCTGCGTTAAACGTTTAACGCTCTTGGGGAGAGGGAATAGAAAGAGATAGAGTGAGAGTGAATGCGTTGCACTCAAACGCAACCGCCTAGTATACCTGTTGCAGGCCAGCGCGAGTGTTAGCAACGAGTAGCGTCCAATATTTTAATGAAGTATTTAAATATATATATATTTATTTATTTATAAAGAATTCTTTCTTCTATTTCTTTATATATATTTATAAAGAAGTTGCACTTCATTCACGTGCACCAAGTTGTACGCGCATCGTGTTTTAAATGAGTAAACACTCACTTCAAACACTCAACATAAAAATCGGGCATTGAAAAGGTACCATTGCACCAATATAATTAGGACTTCAACCTAATGTCTCAATGCTGGCGATGGGGCTCTTCACGTTAAAGCTTACGGACAGCCGTTACCGTAGGACCTTTGTTTTAAAAAATCCGAATCGTACAATCTCCAACAATTTCCTTAAGCAAATTTCTTAGAATTCTTTGACGGCTCCAAAGTGGACGGACAGACTATTGAAGTGAAGTACTTCTGAAGATACGGTGAGTCAACTTAATTACAAATTTTAATTTAAGATTCTCGGTTTCTCTCTCGCCTGTAGATGTATTTGATATGAAAGCTGTATTAGTGTTGCCAACGTTTTGTTAATTCGTAAGGTACTAAATTAAGAAAACAATCAAAAACACGTCTAATAGTAATAGTGAACAAAAGAAAAATTCTGTAGGTAAGCCTCAAAACTGAAATGTATGTATATGAAAAAACGTATTTGACATAATATGCGACATGTGCCATTTTCGAAATTGCATNAGGGGGCGCGCGGGGTATGTGAGACTCAACGATCTGCAGGTGTTGAGAGCAGATCGCGGGCCCAAGGATTTTAGGGCCCACCCACTAAACGACTCCCCTGCACTCTTACACCCGACGTCCGATCTCCGTCCGGGGTCAGAACCCGTTCAGAGTAGGGGGGTTCCCGCGGTCAACACTACAACCAGACACGCGGCGCCACACCGGAACATAGCCTGACTTAACTGTTCACATATTATAATATATTAATTTAAAGTCGTCGTGGCCTAAAGGACAAGTCGCCCGGTGCATTCGTATCGAGTGATGCGACCGTGCCATTATTCCAATACCGCAAACAGGTAAAAAAAAGCCATTGAAATACGTCCTTGACAAATGTTCACGAATGACCACCACGGTGAAGGAGTAATACCGTGTAATGTGCCTAATTTAAAAAAAAATTGTTTGCTTAATTATTGGTGATAGGACGTCTTGAGAGTCCGCGCGGGTAGGTCCACACTGCCTATTTCTGCCGTGAAGCAGTAATGCTTTTTGATTTGAAGGGTGAGGCAGCCGTTGTATTGTGAAACTAACACTAGGTAGACCGTGAGTTCGTCCATATATTTAAGCAATCAAAAAAAAACAGAATAGACAGCGAAGACATCAGCTTGGAAGATAATTTTCTTTGTCTTCGTAACATTTCTACGAATTTTGATAACCAACGAAGAAAAATCACCTTCGTCACCACAATCGCCAGCCATCTCCTGCATCATAACACAGAAAATGTCCGGTACTCCACAAATCAGTGTGGCGACCTCGTCCTGAAAAACTCACCTGGGTGTTTGTTTCTACGAAATACCCTCACCACTTCGCGATGCCAATACACATAGCAGCTCGAAATATCTCCGGCGCATCAGCTCTGAAAGACGTGGCATACTCGCGGCAATTAACGCAACATTCTCGCTCGATATCAACACGCGGACTTGAAGAAGACGAAGATTGGAAACACGCTAAGCCTGGATTTGTTCAAACTATCTAACTGTGCCAAGCCAAATGGCAGTTTGCCGTTGCAATTTTTAAATGACCGTGCCAGGCGTCTTGGAGAGCGTTGATGTATCATAGTTCTCCTGTTCTTTGCTTGACAGAGCGCAACAAAAATTCGGTCTTCGTTTAAAATGGAGCATCATTCTTAATGTCTTCGTCATCAGAGAATTTATTGTCTACCACGTGTTGCGTTTCACCCAAGGAGGCAAAAACATAGAACTCGTAAAGAGAGCATCCCTTATACCTAACACTATATCAACTATGCTTTATGTATTTATTCATCGGAGAGTTACCACTGTATTATTTCATGACTGGCCTTGGTTTTATTTTGGTTCGCTGGTTTACTTGTGTTTATCAGCATCATTAAGAGCCTATTTCAGTCCACTATTGGACATAGGCCTCTAGCGACACACCACGCAACCGGATACTTGGCCTGTGTTTGTTTCTTTATTATTGATGTTTCAATAGATCTTTGATTTGAAATGTTATGATGCCTCCATTTGCTTCTGGTGACGTTTTTATTATTAGCTTACTAACTTGAGCGTATCGACGTGTGTGTGACGATGTGTTTTTGTCGGCTCTATTCAGCCATAGGACACATTTAGTGAAGGCCAACAATATATCGCAAGTATGGCGAATAATAAGCAATAGGAATATCGATAGTAGGCACTTTTTGGATTCAAATACTTTGGGCATTGTGCCCAAAAAGGATTATAGTTGCGTGTGTAAGTGTCTTGTAGACAGTGATTATAATAAATGTTGGTTCAGTCATCTATTATTAGTCTGGTAATTTTTGGGGCTCTTCGAAACAATTGACATCAGTTTTATAAGCAACATAAAATTTAATATATGTCTTGCATTGTAAAAAGTCTGACACGATCTTTCGTTGACCAAGCTTTTTCCCTCTGGATTTTATCATCCGACAGTAAAAAATGTGAACTGAGTGTTTTCCATGGGTTATTTTATCCCATCGTTTTATCATTACGTAATATCGCAAACGTTACGGAATTTACGGAATTACGGATTACGGAATCTACGTTGACAATTGTCAGGGTTCGCCCGTAATGCGTATGAGAGTATGCGAATACTCGTATTTCAACGTTACATTACATTTATATGACAATAGTGCTTTGCCAACTTTACCTAACGACTGCGACTGTTGCCGCTTTATTTAGAGTAAAAGTTTCAGAATCACTGAGTTGTGAAAAAGTCGTCTTACTTTTATTATTATCCTAGACATAGAATATATTCGCTATTACCACAGTGGAATAAAAAATAATAATAGGGGTGTGACTGTGTTATGGACACGGCCGTTTGTTGTACGTGAATACGTCTCGTAACGGGTAATACAGCCCGATGTCGATACAGAAGCGATTTCATCATCCATCTGCGTAATGTCAACCGTCCCAGCTGCAGATGTACTGGCACCGTCGTTGATCCGCTCGGCCGCATTCATTACTTTACGTTGCCGGCACTGCTTGACTCGATCATATGGTGTTTTATTTGTACCATTCGATTGCTGTTGAGATGCCCTTTCCAACCGTATACGATCTCTGTATTTCGATTTGGCTTTTCGACGTTTATAGGCATTATATATTTTTTGATATTTTTATTTTATTTTAACACCTTATTATATTCACAGTTACAATTTTACACTAATGTTATATATATAATCGATAGATTTTGACGAGAGCTGACGATTGAAACTTGAATGAACGTCGTAGCTTCACCGAGTCGAAAGTTATACTAAATGGAAATCTCGATACGCAGCAAAATGACCTTCAAAATGGCGGGGCTGCCCCCTCCCCCGCGCGCGATGTGTTACAGTCCTTACTTAGCGTAATAAATTCTTTGATTCTTTAGCTATCCAGTGGTTTAACTGAAATTTGGATGGAAATGATAGATATGTAGCTACAACACTAAACTGTATCCCCCGATTTTGTTATCATTCCTTTTTTTGGATTGCGTCCCTATGGAAGTAATTTTAAAGACGTATTCACGTTTCATTATAAAGTACGCTAAATACTAAAATTACCTCAAAACGGATGGGTAATGTAATGTTACAATAATAGGAGGGTATCCAAATAATATAATACTTGTTAGGTACCATCTCAATTATCAGAGATGAGGAATCCGTTTTAAAGTACTAAAAACTACGTGGGCTAGACCGAACCGTGGTGGCTTGTGTCAGTCTCCGTGATGGAGGTTTTCACCATAAGCCGTAGTAGTGTTTGCCAGCCGAAGAACGTGAAGTTAATGCCGAGATTCGACGCTTTTTATGAGACCATCATCATTTGTCGCAACATTATAACCTTATCTGGTGATTGATCAGAAATATAAAGTTAACGAATGCTTCGCTCAGAATGGATCATTGTTCATATAAAGTTTGCGCTTACTACAAAAATATTGGTCAGGAAAAATCTTGAGTGACCTCAAGACTTGATATGCGTTACCTGTAGATAAGCGTTGAAGAAATTGAATGTGATTCTACATCGTGTATCTCCAATGAGTACTACAGTGATGTTCTGATATTTTTATTGATTCTTCTGCTGGTTGTAATATACGAGCAAGGCCGAAGATACAATCGTCTTATTTTTTTTTTGTACTAACTTCAAAATATTTCATTGCAGTTATGCCGTGGCGGACAGAAGATAATATTAATGGTATGGTAGGTTGCAAAAGCTCGATAAAACTTGTCACATTTTTCTTGCACGATCACTTGCACATTAAATGATGAAATTAATTTGTGGTTTTATTTTAAAACATCATAATAAAAATTGTTAATCTCAGAAAATACTGTCGGATATTAAATCAGAACCTTGATTGTTTGGGCTGCGAACCGTCTACCTAACGTGGGGTATCTTATTAGGACTTCCTTTTCTTATTCCTTCTTCAATCTAAATCCACACCGTCTGTTGACATTCCAAGTGAAAACTACGCAGAAGCGTAAAAGTACAACTGTGCAACAACAAAAACCAAGCATGCGGAAAAAACTAAAACATGCTAGTGCTAAAAACAAAAGTTTACTGGTGGTAGGACCACTTGTGAGTCCGCGCGGGTAGATATCACCAGCCGCCTATTTCTGCCGTGAAGCAGTAATGCGTCTCTGTTTGAAAGGTGGGGCAGCCGTTGTAACTTACTTGAGACCTTAGAACTTATATCTCAGGGTGGGTGGTGCATTTGCTTTGTTGATGTCTATGGACTCCAGTAACCACTTAATACCAGGTGGGCAAAAAACGTTTTGATTATAGTTTATCAATCAGCACAGACTCTCGTTAGTGAGAAAATTCAAAAGTGCATCAAAGAACTTCGGATGAGGCAATAAGTTTATCATTTTCTCGGTAAGTACCAAATACATTTAAACACAAAACATGATATGTCTAAGCGATTTCGAGGTATTTTTTTGAATGATTACGTACATATTGCAATCGCATCGGTGATGACTAACTCTGTTTCTTGGCTAATAGTGGGACAAAGTTAATAAATATCGCCATCTAGTGAGGAGCAGACAACCGGGAAAGTTCGACTTCGGGCCAAAACGCCCTACGCACGGCAGGGCGTAAGTAAACGGGAGGGAAAATTGATCCCAAAGGCGTAAGGTGAAATGGAACATTGTGAATATTTTTTTATCCTATCTATGCTGATAGCCTTCAGAGGCTATTTCAGCTTCACCCTTACGTGTGTAGGTGAGCTCACGGGGCTCAAACCGGAGTGTTGCTAACACTGACCCTAGCAAGAGCAGTGCTTCGCAGAATCTACCACCGGATCGGAAACGCGACCCACTGAGAAGATCCGGCGAGAAATTCAGTGGGCTGTGTCTATGGGTTAATTCGCTCGTCGAGCCTTTCGCCGCAAGTGACGGATTCGATCGGAAGGATCCGTAATGACGTGTTTTGGGCGACGTCGACTGTTTACCATTCGGTCTACAGGATCGGGTATGTTTCCAGCGGCCACGACAAGAGGGTTCTCATGTCGTGCTGCCTTCTCGAAATGGCGCAATGATGCCGACTTTAGATACTTACTGATAGAGTCGAGCTCCAGGTCGTCGAGGAGATCCACGTTCCTCAGGAACCATGGTGCTCCGACGCTCCTCGCAGAATCGGGATTCAATAACCTGAAGGGGCTTCAAGTTGGTGCGGGCCGCGTGAGCGTACACTACGCTTGCATACGTCATGAGGGGGTGTATGCAAGTTTTGTAGAGTGTATGTGATTTAAAGCAATGAACGATCCACATCAAGATTTGAACGCACATTTTGCACTAGGGAGTACGGAACAACATTCTAGGACCACTTTGCTCTTTGTTTAATAGATAATCTAATTTGGAATGGAAATCAAATAGCTCTATTTGAAATACATACTTAGTCTGGCCATAAATACTGTTACAATTAAAAATAAAAATAAATTCTATTGCAAATAACATTTATTACTTTTACAGTGTGTTAGTTTAATACATAAATATAAAACAATTTAAAGTATAAAAGCTTATTCGAAGTGGTCTCCATTGGCTGCAATACAGTCCTTTAAACGTTGAGGCCAATTATCAATAGAAGCACGCACTCTTTCCATGGGAAAATTTTTCACTGTCAATCGCACGGATTGTTTTAGGGACTCCAAATTATCATGGCGTTTAGAGCAAGCCGTACTCTCTAAAACTGACCATAAATCATAATCCAGCGGATTAAGATCGGGACTAAACGACGGTCAGTCTTCAGCTCTGATGAAGTCCGAAACGTTCGTTTCCAACCAAGACTGCGTAGACCGAGCTTTATGACCTAGCGCCGAGTCTTGCTGGAAGGACCATTCTTGATTATTGAACATGGCGTTATTAAGGGGCTTCACTACCTTCTCAAGAATGGTATCTTGATACACTTGTGCTGATGTTTTGATACCTTTTTCACAAAATTATGGCTCAGTCACTCTTTCATAGCTAATACCCCACCAAACCATCACTGAAGTCGGATAGTGCCCACGTTGCACTCTGTCGACTAATTGGGAAGCTTCCTTAGAGCTTTGAGCATAAATACGGTCATTTTGTTTGTTAAAATGTTGCTCAATTGTAAAAATTTTCTCATCCGTAAACAAAATTTTTCTATGACCTCCCTTTGCGTACCGCTTCAGTAGTTGTTTCGATTTTACCACCCTATTCTCTTTTAAATTATCAGTTAAGAAATGACCAGTACGTCTCTTATAGGCTGCAAGTCCTAAGTCATCTTTTAAAATACGCGACATGGTTCTATCTATCTTCATCTCCCGAGATAAAATCTTTTGCTTTCGGACAGGATTTCTTCGAATTCTTCCCCTTACTGCTTTGACTATCTTTTTCGTACGAACACTACGTGGACGGCCAGATCTTTTTCTGTCACAGAGGAGGTCTGTGCACCTATTAATAGCCTGGTACATAAACATTTTACTAATACCAAGCGTATGGAGAGTTTTAAAAATTGCATTTGGCTCCATACCTACTTTGTGTAATGCAATCACAGCGATTCGGTTCTCTTTATCACCCCACTCCATTTTAATATTGCAAAATGTATTGGCGCCAAAATGAGAAAACTCAATGAGCTATCATATAAAAATGACATTCCAAATTCAAATGTAATATTTTGTTTATTTTTAATTGCAACAGTATTTATGACCAGACTAATTATAGCTGAAGAATTAAATACCTTTTAGTTCTATAATATTATGAATACTTTAAAATAGGCTAATTAAAAATTAAAATAGATAAGTCATAAATCTGGTTGTTTTTTCTTCTCCTTTATTCTAAATACATACCTAGTTTATCTAAATACCAAGATGGGGTTGGATGGATTTTTACTGTGCTATCCTAGTATTGTTGCAGTCCGACATACTTCAGCAAAGACAATGGTTAAAACATTTTTTCAATCAGTATGTACTTATAAGAACAGGCCTGCGTTGCCAAACAATAATTTAGATGTGTTCGTATAATTGTTGCTATATGGATTTCGTCTTTGCAGCCATTATTTCCCTAACAAACAGGTAGCGGCCTGGTTGTGTCTGCCATTGGTTGATGTCAGTGAAAAACCAGGACTCATGTAAGCTGTGCTCCTTTTTTATTGCTCCTTGTAGGCAGACGAGCATACGGCCCAACTGGTGGAAGTACTTTTTACTGGTGGCAGGACCTCTTGTGAGTCCGCGCGGGTAGGTAGGTACCACCGCCCTGCCTATTTCTGCCGTGAAGCAGTAATACGTTTCGGTTTGAAGGGTGGGGCAGCCGTTGTAATTATACTGAGATCTTAGAACTTATATCTCTAGGTGGGTGGCGCATTTATAGATATATCCATGGGCTCCAGTAACCACTTAAGGTGGGCTGTGAGCCCGTCCACCCATCTAATAAATAAATAAATAAATGTAGTTACCGTCGCCCATGGACTTTAGCAATGCCAAGGGCAGAGCCAAGCCACTGCCTACCATTAAGTACTCTCCACAAGCCTCGTTTGAAGAAGGATATGTCATAGAGCTCGGGAAACACCGCTTGCTTTCGTTTTTTATCCTTAAAAAAATTATACAAAAAATTCAAAATTTTAATAGCAATTTGAATTTAGCAGTGTAGTATGAATTTTGAAATAAAAACTGTACTTGATTGTATAAATCTTTTATTTAACCCTTATGTCTATTCCCTCATCATCTTCTCCTTTTGACGCGCAAGCTTTTTCTTGGAAAGCTTTTTCTTTGCTGGGGCATCATCAGTAGGGGCTACCCTGGCGACAGCATCTTCGCGTTCGCTGAGACATACTTCGATGTGGCAGGGAGACGACATGTAGGGGTTGATGCGACCGTGAGCACGGTATGTACGTCTGCGTAGGCAGGGCGCGCGATTTACCTGCAACAAAACTTTCATTACACGATGTCCACTAAGATGTCGCCTTCAGACATAGACATGGCAATGTAGACAAAATGGTCAAAGACTCATTTGTATCGAATCATGGATGTCCTAGCTTTCAAACTAGAATGTTCACACTGCTTTGCACAAAGGCAGGTCTAGTTCGCCAAATGCTAATATTCACAAATTCTATACTTCTTAATCTTGAATGCAAGCACTATTTTTTTCCTGCTTATCGTTGGACGGGTTCGGTGAGTTCACGGGACTTAACCTGAGAGAGCTTGCTGACACTAGCCTTAGCAAGAGTAGTGCTTTGATGAATCTACCACTGGGAATATCTGGCGAAAGTCTCAGGTTGTGTCTATGTACTCTACTTACTAGGTCACACGAGAACATTGACCAGTCCATGGAAGAGCCTAATAGCACCGAGTGGAACAGGATGGCGTGTAGCAAGTTTACATGTTTACATCGTGGATGGGCATATACCCTCTCTCAACTACTATAAGTAAATCATGTGTTCTGACAGCAATTTCACCAATGGATCCTACCTTCTCTCTCTCATGTCTCAAAAATTTTAATTTAATATTGCTATAGAGCTTAACAACTATAAAAAACAAATTTCAATTCAAACAGACCTCATAATGGAAATATACACTGTTTTAATAACAAAAAAAAAACAAATAGTACATTTCGTCTGTACAGATGTACTTTGAATCCAAGATATTACTGTAAGAATTTTGGTATGTGTATTACGGTCCATAAATTGTATAAATAACTCATACAAACAACTGTATATCAGAAACCAACTCACACCGATAAACAAATGGTAAATGCCATCATCATCTAAGCCAGTTATCCACTGTAGATTTATCTTTGCTACAAAGAGAATGAGGCATTTGTGGCACTCAACGCCTAGGGCTGAACTGGGGCAAGAAAAGCACACGTTTAGTGTGCACACAAACTCCAGTATTCCAGCTATATATCAAGGGCACATATATACACAAGGTTGGCCACACGTTTAGGATTACATAGGTATATCGTCTTTTGCATTAAAAGTGTACAATTTTCAACTATATTCAAAATTAAGTTAATATGTGGAATCATTTGCTATTGCCAGTATTTTTCTCATAAATACTGTCAAAAGAGTGTAATTTAGTTTTATTTTATTTTTTTGGTTTACATATGTTTTGACTACTATTGAGAAAATTAATACATACATAATTTTATCTTCTTACTTTATAAGACAGATAATGTAGCTGGTAATAAATAAAAAATAAATGTTGCAAAGATGATTAATATTCAAAATATTACTTGTTAAACCTTTAAAACACTCTCCTGTAAAATTAGTAAGTTTTGAGATTTATACAGTTTAAATGCGAGAAGACGATATGTGAACATAATATTTCAAATAAGAAACTAGGCCAAAACTAAAATCTGTTCAGTGTGAGATACCTTTGTCTGTATTTCTATAAATTGAACTCCTGTATCAGAGCACAGACCTCAAAAGAGACACAATCCATCAGAACTAAGGGGAGGGGTCCATCTAGTCTTTTAGATTATAAAAATCAATTTCACATCTATGAAATGTCCAAAACGTGTGTAAATGGAGTTTCAAAAAAAATAAGGTGTTGCAAAGTCACAGTCCTAATGCAGAACAACACAGTGCTAGCTTTCACATCAAATATTCTTGAGCCCAACTGATTGTCTGTCTGGCTTTTTTGTGTACAAAACTCCTAATGGGTACCCAGAACTGCTTACAAAATATCTGTATAGCATCGGTCACTCTTCAGGGTGGCATCGAGATAATACACATAAGTTTTCCCCACTGGATACACATTGGAAAATAAATGGAAATAATAAAACAAGAAGTCACTGGGCCATTTCATAAAGATCGTACAAGAAAAAAGCAAAATTTCATGGAAAGACAAAGAAAATTTTACTAAAAGACAATATCTACCTCCTAAAGAGCTTAAGGTAATTATCAAGTCAATCTATGAAGATGAAAATCTATCAAGAAAACATATTGACCCAGTACTCTGTAGTTGTGCTAAACATAATATTAGATTTGACAAAATCAAAACACATGCACACTATGGAATCTAGTTCATTTTAGGTACAATGCTGTCTTTAAAAAAAAATAAGCCTATCTTTAACAAAGCAGATCGTTGGTTCTTATCGAATACTTCGGATCTTCTCATTGTGAAGTTAAAGAAAACTCAAGTAAGAAAAACTGCTAGACCTCAAGATACTATTAATTATTTATGTGAAAAACATATTATATTTAAATATATTTTTTAAGTATAAACAATTATAATATAATTAATTTATTAATTAAGCCAAAATATTATATTTTTAGTCAGCAAAATTTTTGTTACATTACAGAATCTATAGAACAAATGGGAAATGGGACTAATATAAAATTGGGATTAAACTTAGTGCAATGTAACAACTATTTCTTCATATTCTATTACTTTCGAATTTTTATTAAAATCATATTTCATTCATTACCACCTTCTTCCATAGAAAAAATCACTAATTTAAGAAAACTAATGATTTTTTCTGATTGTCAGTAACAATGACTTGGAAGCATTCCTTGAATGTTCAATTAGTAATTGTAACTATTGCTGTTTGCCTTTTGAAACCAGCATAAACAAAAATGTAAAAGCTGGCAAGCTAAAAGGCACATTAAAAGTTTTTCTTAAAGCTTACTCAAACAAGTAAATATTGCCACAGGTAGGTACCACCACCCTGCCTGTTTGCAAAGTTTCTTGCATACCTTAATGTCTAGTACCATAGCATACCTGGTTAAATTAAACTAAATTGCGAGAAATAGGAAAGCCAGTTGCAACTAACAATATATATTGCTAACTAAGATGCTTATACAGACTATAAATTAATTTAAACCCAAATTTGTATATAAACTTTTGTAATGTCACTAGTTTCACTCGTTTTTCTTGTACAATAGCTCTATCATACATTATGGCTATAAAAATGTATCCCCACCCATCTGTACCATAAATACAATGCTTGTAAACTAACAAATAAAATATGAATAATAACTTTATTAGTGGCAATTACTATTTTATGCTCAGATAATTTCGAGATCAAACATACCTGAATGTGGTCGATGACTAGCCTGTCAACGTCCAAAGTTTTGTTGTCAGCGTTTGATTCAGCGTTCCTCAATAACTGCAAGAGGAATTCGGCGGATTTCTTGGGCCAGCGACCCTGTGTTGTGCCAAACTGCTTTGCTTGAGCACAGCGACCAACGCCGCCGTTGAAGCGACGGAATGGAATACACTCTTTCTTTTCAATCACGTTTTTGAGGTAACGAACAGCACGACGGAGCGGCATCTTTCTGATTGCCATTGCGGTCTCATATGTGTTCTGAAAATTAGAAGTTTGATAATACAGTAACTGCTGACTGTAATGAGACATTTAATTTCATTATGTATTTTAAGAATCGTACATTGAATTTTTTATTGTAAAGGGCGATCTCTGTAATAAAATTAGTCCATGTGCAATGTTCAGTTAGTAAATACAAATTATACAAGCATAATAACAGACCTTAAAGTGAACACGGAGGTTTGAACCACGCGCTTTGCATGATTTCGCAGGGTTATCCGGCTCCCGAGAGTAACGACCCATAATTATTTCTGAAACACAGAGCGGCTTTTACATTCCGGACGCTAGACAACAAACTTAGGTTAACAATTTGATACCATGCCATTTCACAGAAAGAACTAAATAAACACAGAAACAGCGAGGATACACAGCAGATAAGCGCACTAGAATCAGATTTAATTCAAAACTCAAGACTTTTTACGATTAAAATGGATTTTATCAAACACGAAACCAACCTCTCAAGAGAAAATATGACAAGAAAAGGAATAATCAAATCTATTTTGACGTGAAAATGTCTGACATTGACAAATACTTCAGTGTTGCTAAAGTTTAAAAAGGCTCAATGGTACAACAACTGAAACTAGGCCGAGTGCATATTGTGCGTATGATTGATAAAATTCCTAACATCTTGATTATTTTATTCTAGATATAAAGTCAGACAAAAAGATACACATTATTTTTCAGACCACGAAAAATATCAGAAGATAGATTATAGTGAGAAGAAGAGAAATACAGCACAATTTATCCAGGAACAATATAGGATCGCTAAATAATGAAATACAGATATAAAATATTACGTATTCTTTGTAAATAAGGTAGGCAGCGGCTTGGCTCTGCTCCTGGCATTACTGAAGTCCACGGGCGACGGTAACCACTCACCATCAGGTGGGCCGTATGATCGCCTACAAGGGCAAAAAAAAATTTATTATACTATATTGGACAAACATGCAAATGAGGTAAATGAACAGAAAAAGTTGTGTAAAATTATTCAAATATTGCGATTACTTACGAAGCTAAGCCTTTGAGTCAGTCCACCTACCCTGGCGAAGCTGAAATGGCTTCCGGGCCATCAGCAATCCTTCCCAAATGGAACGGTATTTTGCAAAAGCAAAATTTTGCATTCATTATATCCGGAATCTTAGCTCATTAAATTTAACATTTGACATCTGTCAACACATCTGTAATGACGAATTTTAATGCTGGTGCTGTGTTGGTGTGGCAGTATCATCTGCCATTAGCCACGCGGCAGTTGCAGTTGTATGTCGGAATAGGTCTCATACAAGACTATAACCTAATGCCGTACGAGGGCACGGCAATTGTCCTACGATCTGTTGCCTCTTGAGGAATAGCATATTCAGAGACTTTTTGAGCCGTGTGACGATATTAGATTACGAAATACGACAATTTGTATAATTAATATGAAATTCGTTGAAACGGTCTTTATAATTTAATAATAATAATAATCTTGAGAAATTAAGTGTTAGGAACTACACAAAATTACACACGGACAAAAGATTTGTTCTAACTTCGGATTAGATTTTTAGTCTAAAGCTCAGTCTTATTGATTTATTCTTGTCCTCTTTTTATTCACACCATAGCTTCAAGCCTAATTATTTATCAAGCGTTATAAGTTAAGCGAAATAATGTATAGATTTTGTCTAAAAATTTCTGGTGACGAAAGACCCTTTTGATGTTAACCATAAATTTTAGGAACAATAAACAAATTTTCATAGTTCTTTCAAGTTCTTTATTGGTTATTGCTAGTAGATCCATTATCTCTAGTATTATTTTATGATATGTATAAAATAATCATTAACATTGAATTCTATTCAACCATGAAAATGAAAAAAAAAAAGAATAATGATACTTCAATTATCTTCAATGAAACAGAAGTTACTTGCAAAACAGAATTTACTACAATGTCTTTACATAAAAATGTTTATGATGAAACATATCTTAAATTAGCAGCCAATGTTATTGTATGTATTTTAAAATGTATTTATTTCATTAAGGTACTACAAATTTGCTTTATATTAAATGACAAAGATAATAAATATAATAATAGTTAATAAAAGGTAATTACATAATATTTTATTAAAAATAATTTCATTTCTAAGATTAGTACATTTGAAAATAAAAATGAAGGAATCATGATTTTTTTTAATCGGTAAGTCTTTTTTCTTTTTGATATCTACATTAAGTTCGAAGATACCTATGTCTGTAAATCATGTGTTTCATAGGTTTCTAAAATGATTATATTACTTAATTTCTAACCATTTTCAAATGAAAGAGAGACGTCTATTCGGACTATTTGTTTTTTTTTTGCTAGAACTGCATACTTGATATGACGTAATAGCGAAACATATAACTACCAAGTATACTTTACAATAGACTTTAATCAATATTACTACACACTGGCTAAGTACATTGTTGAACAACTCAAAATGTTATATACATATTATATTCTAGGACATATTGCTTCGATAATTACTATTTACAATTTAAAAAACGAGCCGCTAAATCAGATTGTAACTACAAAATACATTTTATACCTAAAAATGTTTGGTTCACTAACATATTCACTAATTATAATTATTTGAGAATTATAGAGTAGCTATTATAAATTTAATTTAATTTTGATAAGTAAGACTGAACCTGAAACCATTGTACACAGAGGAATCCTGCCATATTTTGCAAAGAATAGTAAACATAAATACAAATCTTCCAAAATAATAAATATCTATTGCATAAAATTAAAATCATTAATTATGTTTTACTTTCTATTTTTCGTACAGGTTAAAATACAAATCGAAAACACAACCATCGATTTGATGTGATCTTAAAACTACTAAAAACAAAAACTTAATTGATAGACGACATGACTAGATGTATCCGATAACGTATCAAAACTTGTTTACAAATTCCAATTTAAATGGTTACTTTTTATAATAGGTGCATTAGAATGTTAACAAAAGGTAAAAATTATGAATGCTACTTCGGAACATGAATAAACGTAATCTTTAAACGGGTTGAAAAAATGAACACTTTACTAGTACAAAAAATTAAATGTCTCCAAAGCGTACACATAAATTTTTAATGACTTGCAAGTACATCCTAGTTCTCGTTAAGATTAATCTTGACACACACTATCTGCGTCGCCACATGTAAGGTGCATCCACAGAGTACGTTCCCTTATGGTGAATTCCCAANAACATGAATAAACGTAATCTTTAAACGGGTTGAAAAAATGAACACTTTACTAGTACAAAAAATTAAATGTCTCCAAAGCGTACACATAAATTTTTAATGACTTGCAAGTACATCCTAGTTCTCGTTAAGATTAATCTTGACACACACTATCTGCGTCGCCACATGTAAGGTGCATCCACAGAGTACGTTCCCTTATGGTGAATTCCCAAAGAGGAGGACCGGACAATATGCGTCCGAGCTTGAATTTTATTTTAATTTACGATAAAGTCTGTTGTCAGGTGTAAATGCAAAAAAATTATATGTTTCAAAGAAATGAAGTTTATTGAGTGACTTACCAATAGACTAGTATACAGTAGAGTATGACAATGGTGTATTACATGGATAACGCATTACAAGTTTTTGGAAAAATTGTTTTATTTGAGACTAGTTAATTGATTAGATTAGATTAGATTAGATTAGAAGAGTAGGATTAGATGAGTAGGGACGAAATAAAGCTTCAGCAAAATAGTGGTTATTTACTGATATTTAAATTGACTTTTTGGAAGAACCTGATGATACCGACACGTCCAGCCTTCTTATTTAATTTTTCCACACTTAAGCACTTTCACAGATGCGCTAAACGGTTAATAGGCCATAAATCCACGGTTAAACCTGAAAAAGCACTAAGTTAACAAAATAAAACAAATCACACAACTATCATGTACGCTACCCGCGGTTCGGCCAAAAATTCAAATACATGTATAAACAAGTTTGATAGTTGAATAATTTATATTGATAATGTGAAGCAGTTACATATTATATATGGAGCTTGGGGTAATAAGGACACAAAGCGTACGAACATTCAATAATTGTGTTTTTGTTGTGCTCGCCAGAAATTTTTTGGAAATACATTTTTTATAAAAATTTAATTTGACTAGATATTACATACTATTTATTTTAATTCTACTGGGATAACGAAAACTCACAACTATTGTTCAGCGCCATCTATTGTTGAGAAATAAAACTACACAATTTTCTTATCCCCTTAATTGCCACTAGGTGGCTCTAGCTGTTAAATAAAAACTGCACAAACAAAAAGTATGTACATAATGCAATGGCGTAATTTTTCTAACGAGAATTTATTAGCAAATTTTGAAATTAGGATACTTCTTCGATATCGGGTTTTTCAACAGAATCTAATGCTGCGCTGGTGCCGGTGGCGGAAGGAGAGGTAATGGTGCTACACACGCCACGCAACTGTCAACTTCTGAAAAAAGAACATCTATATTAATACGTGAAGCAAAAACTTTGTATCCCTTTTTACGAAAATTGCGCGGACGGAGGAGTATGAAATTTCTCACACTTATAGAGAATATAGAGAAGAAGTGCACAATGCTAATATTTTTTTTAAATAATGCATAAAATATACATTAAATCAATAAAGAAAACATTACACACACTACATACCGTGTATTTGACGCAACACGCATGCATACTATCTAATGTCAAACTTTTGTTCTTGACGTCTGTGGTCAGATTGAGAAATAGATTAAATATTGTTTGTCTTTATTAATATTTTTTATAATGTACTCTTGGCGAAATTTGTGATTATAGAAGTATAAAATACAATCATAATAGTGTACAAACTTACAATTCCAATTAATTATTATAGTCGAATTTCGACTACTGCGGGACCTCTAGTTTTTATTAATTGGGTACATACTCTTTTGTTACATAACAAACAGAAAATAACAAGTCTCATTAAGTTTTATCATAATACTCGTAATAACATAGCAAAAAAAAACAAAAAAAAACTTGCATTTAATTGTACTCTATTAAACGCCATTGGGGTCCCGTCGTAGATTCAGCGGAACATTGCTCTTGCTAGAGTTAATGTTAGCTAATTCTCTCAAGTAGAGCACGTGAGCTCACCAATCAATCCGAGAGTAGCTGGAATGCCCCTTAGGNTCATTAAGTTTTATCATAATACTCGTAATAACATAGCAAAAAAAAACAAAAAAAAACTTGCATTTAATTGTACTCTATTAAACGCCATTGGGGTCCCGTCGTAGATTCAGCGGAACATTGCTCTTGCTAGAGTTAATGTTAGCTAATTCTCTCAAGTAGAGCACGTGAGCTCACCAATCAATCCGAGAGTAGCTGGAATGCCCCTTAGGTTACTAGCTATTAGGTACGGTAAAAAATCCAAACTAATAAACAGCTTGAAAATTTTAAGCGAACGATCATACAATTTTTGCATACCAAAGTTTATGCATATAACGTTATATGTATACATCGCGGTGGCTTTAATCAAATCCCTGCTTAATTGCTGCCATCTGACTAGACTTTCTGCTTGGCTTATTGTAATGTTCCGTTAGTGGCAATTAAATTATTTACGTAGGCATGTAATATTATAGCAATTTTTTATTTTATTTTTATTTATTTCATAGATGGGTAAAGGAGCTCACGGCCCACCTGGTGTTAAGTGGTTACCGGAGCCCGTAGACATCTACGACGTAAATGCCACCACCCACCTTGATATATGAGTTCTAAGGTCTCAGTATAGTTACACAATTCAGCATTTTTTCACTATTATAAAAAAAGTGTCATTTAGGGTATAGCCAAAAATAAATGGTTTTTTTTTTTTATATTAGACGTGCCACGTGTCAACTAGTTAACGTGAACCAAGCTCCTTTTATTTCGAGCCTCAATCCAATTATGCTTAATAAATTTTATCTTGGAAATAGTAAAGGCCAGGGACAACTAACCCCTACTAAAAAAAAGATGTGCGGTGTCGTGGGACACCGGATAGGAACGAAGTTCCTTATTATAAAAATATTAATTTTAAGTTCTATTCGAGGTATAAAGAAAATAAAACTGGAGGTTTCGCAACAACCCACGGTCATTCGGTAACGTGCGAACTTATTGTGGTACACTTCATTCACGGTTGTTTGCATAAGAGTTAGTGTATTGCGCAAACGAACGCACTGAGATCGTGGTCAATGAATGATTAAAAAATATGTTAGTTTTTGTGCGTTATTACAAAGTTAAGTCGTACACGGTGTGCATTACTAATAAAAATCTTACGTTACGGACGTTTTTTCCCGGTTAGGGTACCCGTCCGCATCGCCCCATAAGGAACTTCGTTCCAATAACTAATAAACCAATAAAAAAAGTTGAGGTACCTACCACGGTCGTGCATGTAGTGAAGTGATGGTCGCAAGTCGGGCAGTCTCCACGGCTCCCTTGGCTCTTCATCTCTCTCGATCTTCGGCACCAGCGTTGGCCAGGACTCTTCTGGACGCGGAGTAGGAGCACTGCGACATGGCCACGCGCATTGCTGTACATACAATTTATTTTTTTTATTTTTTATTACTTACGTGGTTGGACGAGCTCACAGCCCAGCGGGTCTTAAGTGGTAACTGGAGCCCATAGACATCTACAACGTAAATGCACCACCCACCTTGAGGTAGAAGTTCTAAGGTCTCAAGTATAGTAGCAACGGCTGCCCCACCCTTCAAACCGAAACGCACTACTGCTTCACGGCAGAAACAGGCAGGATGATGGTACTTACCCGCGCGGACTCACAAGAGGTCCTACCACCAGTAAGAAATCAAATACAAACAAATCCAAATACAAAGTCAAAATAATTTGTTACAACATTCATGTTAACACACTTTTTAACGGGTATTAATTATAATAATATTAACGAGACGTGTACCGCTTTAAAGAAGATATTGCCTTGAAAGGAAGCTACAAAAAACTCACTACAGGTCTGCTATCTGTAAACTTATATCGTCTAATAGGTAATCATTGTAATCATTCCCGAAGCTATAACGGAAATTAAAATGCCCAAAGTAAACGCGAAATATCATTCTATAACTAAACTAGGCATGTCGGGTCACTAAGGACACTCGCTCATGGACATAAGCAATGACAGACGCAGAACTAAGCCGATGCTTCACGGAAACAAAATTGATTTGATTTAAACTCGTAACGTATTCAAATAAAGTTTTCATAAGAGATATTTGCAGCTGACCCTCTTCGGGCGTCTTGCTTATTAGAAGGACGGTAGGCAGCGGCTTGGCTCTGCCCCTGGCATTACTGAAGTCCATGGGCGACGGTAACCACGCACCATCAGGTGGGCCGTATGCTCGTCTGCCTACAAAGGCAATAAACAAAAAAGGACGACTCTTTGTGCCACTTGCTAAACTGGAATCGAATAACTAGTTTTCAAAGCAGAATATATAAGTTTTTTTTTTTATGATTGAAGGATTACTGGTGGCCCGGAGGCCTTTCCAGTTTCACCAGGGCAGGTGGGCGAGCAAAGGCTCAGCCAGAAGGGGTGAGATTTGCTAACAGCTGTCCGAGCGCCTCCGAAGGAGACCTAACAACTCAAGAGCAGCTGCTTCGCGAATGAATCTACTACCGGATCGGAATCGCGACCTGCTGAGAAGATCCGACGAGAAACTCAGCGAGCTGATTCATGGGTTAGGTTGCACGTCGAACTCTTTATCGAGTTCGACGAGTACGGTTACCGGGGTCCCTAAGCCTGCTCCTAGTGTTAGAGCTGAAGGCGTCAATATATTAGATGTGATAGTGATATGTTATTGCAAGTGATATTTTCATTGAGATATTTCCAAAGGAAAAGCGTTGATTTTCCTCAAAGAACTTATCGTTAATTCAACGTTTTTTATCAGCACGCTACGGTTTAAATTTCGTGAGGTAACAGTCGATTTTGTTGATAAAAACTCCTAAAATCGACTATTATTTCATGTTTGTTTCGATTACTGTCACGAGAGGTCGCTTCGTTTATCTGATTGGGCACGCGCGCTCACAATTACTTAAATAACGGACCGTTGTCAATTAAACAATGGACGTGTACAATCACTGCCATTTTACGGGTGTTCTCAAACTTTTGCGTACACAATTAAATCATTATGTTTTTAGTATCATTTATTTAATTCTTATTTTTTTCCCCTACCTATGCTGATAGCCTTGAGAGGCTATTTCAGCTTCTCCTTGACGTGTAGGTGAGCTCACGTGGCTCTAACTGGGAGTGTTGCTAACACTGGCCCTAGCAAAAGCAGTGCTTCGCAGAATCTACCACCGGATCGGAAACGTGACCCACTGAGAAGATCCGGCGAGAAACTCAGTGAGCTGTGTCTATGGGTTAATTCACTCGTCGAGCCCTTCGTCGTAAGCGACGGGTTCGACGAGGACGGTCACCGGTGCTTGTGGTACCTAAAAGCACCGTTATTGGATCGGGAGGATCCGTAATGACGTGTTTAGGGCGACGTCGACTGTTTACCATTCGGTCTACAGGATCGGATATGACATTCTTCTTACAAACTAACAGTTGAACCCAAAACATTTGTAAGGCATTGTATACGTTTTTGAATGAAACAAAAAACTGAATGCCGGCTCAACATTACTCCATTACAGAAAATCATATTGGCCCAATCATTAGGATGGTTGCGTGCAAAACCTCACAACCCGATAGATTATTTAAGTGAAACATACCAGCTTTCTATTACAAGAAAACCCCTTAAATATAATTGTCGAAGAACAGATTTCGTTTTATTTAGGTAGGGAAAAAGGTAGCGGATACCCGGTCGAGGGGGGTAACGGACCGGGTTATGTCGGACTCCGGCGCCTCCTGAGAGGAAGAAGGGGAGAAGAGAAGGGCCGAGGTCCTCCACCTCCCCCAATTTCTCACAGGAGACTACGATCGAGCTCCACCACACCGACTACACGAAACTTACGGTATCGCGATGCGCGCCGAAAGTCTCGCCTTAGCCGGTACCCGTACTAATGTTATGACGGGATCTCATCCCCGGGAAAATCCCGAAGAACCTCGTCTCGGGAGACACCTTGCACCGCTTCACCACCGGACCAACAGTCGAGTGCCGGGCGCCCCCGCACCCAGCACTCGATAGTCCCTACGAGGGCTGAGCGGCGGCCTGTCGCACGCGCCGTCCACCCCGCTTTCTGCGCTGAGGAGCCGAAGAGGGATCCTATTCCCTTTCGCGCTCCTCAGCCTCACGAAGCGCCATGACCAAGTCACAGAACCCGGCCATGGCCTCCCACGAACTCCGGTCCTCTACCATACGGGCGACGACAGCCCGCAAAGAGAGGTCCTGCCCCAACACCGCGACGAGGTTTCGCCGCGGGTGCTCCCACCGTGGGCACGCTTCTAGCGCGTGCTGAGCGTCATCGTCCGGGTGCCCGCACTGGTGGCAGCTCGGATGTGGCTCTCTTCCGCAGACTCTCCACAGATACCTCCCGAAGCATCCATTCCCCGAAAGGACCTGGGTGAGGCGAAAGGAGAGCTCACCGTGTCGCCGGTCCGACCATGCCTCCAGCACAGGCACCAGTACCTCGAGCGTGCGCTGACGAGTGGCCGTAGTTCGGCCGAGCTCCTCCAGCAAGCGCTCTCTCCATTTGGCATACGCCAGACTACGCGCAGCACGCCTCCACCGATTGACAACCGACGGGCGGGGTGTCCGTTCCCGAGTCGAGGACTGTGTTCTCCGTCGGTATGTCGTGGCCAAGATTTCGGCCTCGAGGTCCCACGGTAAGGATCCGGCGAGGGCACAGGCCACATCCTGAGAGATGGTGCGGTACCCCCTGATGACCCTCACTGCGAGCGCCCGCTGAGCTCTGAGCAGCAGAGCCGCGTTTCGCGCAGTAAGTGCGGGCGACCACATGGGAGCACCGTACAGGGCCATACTGCACACCACCCCCAGGTACAGTCGCCGGATACCGGCGCTGCATCCACCGGTGTTGGGAAGAAGACGGGTCAGCGCACCCGCCGTCCCCATCAGCCTTGGAACCAGCATTTGTTGTCCAACACATTGCTGTCCAACACAAGGCCCAAATACTTGAGCTTCGGCTGGACAGCAATGGCGACACCACCGACTACGAGATTCGCGCCTTGAGGTGGCCCTTTCCGAGCTGAGTGGAAGCAAACTGCTTCGGATATTTGGAGGGCCACTTCGAGGCCGAGTCTCTTTATTCGTCTTACCACAGTTGCCACTGCAGCCACAACCTGGACGGCCGCTGACCGGTAGTCGTCTCCGCGAGCCGTCACCAGCGTGTCGTCTGCGTAGCAAACCACTTCGACGCCACGCAGGTTAGCCCCGCGGAGGACCCAGTCAAAACCTATATTCCAAAGGAGTGAACCCAGTACCGACCCTGTGGAACCCCACGCGACACTGTTTTTCGTCCCCAGGGTGGTGGTACCTACCCGTGCGGACTCACAAGATATCCTACCACATAGACCCTACCACAAGACAAAAAAAATATATATTGTATTTCTTCGTATGCAAAAAAAAAAGTACGGTTGAGAACCGCTAAAATGTTATTATGATTGCACACAGTGCTATCAAATAATACGCCAAGCTTTCAATAATTATTATAGTTTAATTTGCAAACAGCCTTTTGCCAGTATCACGAAACTATAGAGGTGCTATGAATAAATAAAAACATCTTGGTAAACGTAAAAGAGCTAATTTAAGTGCGCAAAGGTAGGTTCTGCTTAAAGTATAGCAAAATTCCCTAATGATCTCTTAAGAAATTATAATATACTAAGAACCATGATTTTCATTTACGATTTACTATCGATACTTACATAAATAATACAGGTTTGACGTAATAAACTTCTAAATTACATAACTTAAAATTAAACATGTTCACACTAATAAATGATATTTAATAAAACTGTCATTTCTGTCACTTCTATATTCTGTGCCCGTCGGGATCATAAACAATTCATTAGTTTTTCGATGGGTCCGTATAATTATTTAGTTGCAACCACTGTCGCCGCACGGTAATACCGTAATTGTTGTTTCGGATTTAAATAATAAATCGTTCACTATTCACGATTAACTTACTTTTGATTTTCAAAGCGTTTTCACTGATAGACGTATTGTAGGAATCCACGGAAGAGTACTTTATTCCTGCGTATTTACCTGTCAACGCGGTTTGAAGAAAAACCGCTCTTTCAATAAAATTTAATACTTAAAACTCTCATTCTATGACCAGACATATGTGTATAGGCTCTGTGTGCTTATTGCGAGTTTTTTAACGTTCTCGATAGCGTAAAAGTTAACTCAAATTTTTATAGAGTTGGAGATGTTTACCTACGTTTGCCTCTAGGGGTGCTGTTCCAACTGCATACAAATTGGGAGTTAACTTTTACGCTATCGAGAACGTTAAAAAACTCGCACTAAGCATACTGAAAACCACTTAACGCAGATGAGTTCATTTGTCCTTCTAGGCTAAAAAGAAATTGTTTTTTTATTTAAAGTATTTTACATTATTCGCCACAGTGCATCC